CTCTCATATGAAGACTGATTTCTTTCTTCAAAGCCCCCAGTTATGCACATACCACAGTAAAAACCCTGGAAACATGTAAAATATTTCTCATAAATATTGTTAGTCGGCCTGTTACAAGCAGCTGGCATTCTGCTCATTTTTGGGGTTTGACAGCACTTTCTGTTGTTCCTTCAACCCTCTGCTCTATCACCTTGCTATAGCATACCCAGGACATGCCCCCGATTTTTCAAACCTATCAGCTCAGCAGGATTCTTCTGCTCAATGTCTTCCTTCTAAAACAATCTGAATATTGAAAATTGAATATTAAATATTGATCATATTTAAGATCTTAACTCAAACCCCTCTTTGCATCTGTAGAAAAACATTGGGAGTGAATTGTGCTGGTTTGTGACATCAAAAACCATTTCTGTCTGAACAAAGTTTCAGAATAACACCTGAGCAAAGACAGTATCAGGTTAACCAAGGAGTTATTACACTAGCAGATAACACTCAGAAATTTATTCAGAACATATTAAGATTTTCCCTCCATACCAAAATACCAAACAGAGATGGCTTTATTCTAAGTTTATCATTACCTTTGGCGAGAAGGTTTTTCATTTGTTAAAACATGTTTGTGTAGGTGAGAAACAGTTTTGTTGAGAGGATTATATTTATGCTCACAGGCACTTCTGAAACAATTCTGTGAAAACTGGTGAGCCTTTCTTGCAATATTTCTCATTATACTGCAACGAGGTTCTTCTCCTTCTGACATGCTGTTTGCTTCTACATAACAGTCTTATGCAGATGCAAAAATAATTACCTAAACCAAAAAACCCAAGGCTATTCTCGTTGGTAGTTCCTCATAGGTGCCACTTTAAAGGGAACAAAGTGATGTTTTAAAATGAAGATTCCTTGCCTTTCATTTTTTCTACAGGTAGAGCCTCAGAGGCACAGCCTCAGATGGCTGAACCTTCTCTTTCTCTGCTGGCCTTCTCCTCTGAGCAGGACTGTATTGGGTTGATTCTTGCAGATAGGATCAAATTCAGCTGCTGCTTACAGTTGTGCAATCCACATAATCCACACTCTTCTCTTTTCCAACTCTTACCACACTGTTTGATTTCCCATGGGCCAGAGTATTACTAGGGAGGGAATCCAGATAGGCTTTTCCTGTTATTTTCTGTTTCCCTGCTGTAATTTAACAAAGCTGGTGACTTCTTTGTCTGCTGCCCCACTCTTGGATGGCACCACTCTAAAATCCTTTCCTCCTGACTCAAGGAGAGGGTGCAGCCCATCAGAAGGGAGTGTACTTCATCCTTCTTTATTTTGCCGTCATATGTCAGAAGTATTTCCCACAAAACCAATATAAAGTAACTTCCTAGCTGTGCTGTTTCTTTTTGTCCATATTTTTCAAAATCTTTAAAAATTACCCCCCGCCCCCCCAATACGTGAAAATTTCACAGTGTCAGCTCTATATGCAGCCTCTGAAATTTTCACATCGCAGAGAATCTATTTCCCACCCATCCCTAATCTCAGTTCACAAAGGGTGTGTTTATCTACAATAGTGTTTGGGTTTTAGGGCACTTTGGAAGTGAATGCCTTGCCCAGTTGCTGCTGTCTAGTTCGTATTGCAGAATGATCTCGGAGGACAAACACTGGGCTCCTTTATGGTGAAGCTAAGCAACGGGATATGCTTTAGGTGTGTGTATCAGGTATTAATGGGCCACCAATTCCCAGGACCAGACTAGAGCTTCTCTGATGTAAACTCTTCAACACACGACGGCGTCCCCAGTGTTTAGTGGTGTCTTCCAAATGGCTGGTTTCATTCTACAGATCCACTCCTGTTGCACCACGGTACTTGTTACAGAAGACATAACTAACTTCCAGACTGAATGTAGAGAACAAAAAAGGTTACGTTATACTCTACAAGGGTTAAGAAGCAGTAGGACACCCTCCATTATTAAAGGTCATGCTACTTCTCTCAGGTATTGCTCCAAGAAAGCTGATGCTGAGAAAGGTAATAGTGGAGCACTAACATTTTACTTTCCAACCTCTTTCCATCCTGTTTTGAAAATGTAGGTCCCAGCTGAACTCAGGGACTTGGTACAGGTTACACTTTCTTTGTATGTTGTATCAGGTGTGAGTTGTGTAGCATCTAAACTTCTCTGTTGGGACTTAATATCACCAGGAAATAAGACTGCTGTCAGCATAGTTAAGGTCCGGAAACAAACTTCATCTCGCCATACTTTCCCAAATCCAGGCATTACTGTTATCATGCCCATTCCAAAACAATGGGAAAAAATGCCGCCCATTTTTTCCTGTTTGTCATATACAAATGTACAGCATTAAAACTATTCTGCTGGACTTCTTATTAATACTAGATCATAGATTTATAGCACTGGCTTAAGAATTTTATTGTCTTTTCCAGGCCCTGGTGTAATCTCATTTTCCTGCTTTTATGCATGTGTTTGTCGACTTCCAAATGAACCTATTAACAGGGTTTACACCTGCCATTGTACCTTTATCATAGCTACATAGCTATGATACCTGTCTTTGATCATTCTTTTTGGTGCTATTTTCTCCTCCTTAAATTGTTCATTTTTATCATGAATGGTATTATGTTCTCCTGTCAGGGAACAAAATGTATGTTGAGTCAATTTACTCAAAATAGTCACTGCTAAGTGCTATATTTGGACAAAGTTGACACCTTTGACATTTTCTAAAATGGCAAAAATAACTGTATTTAAGGTATGATTTATGGGTACTGTATGTCAAAGGAATTTCTTTGTTATTACAGTTTCTGATGCAGCTATCCCAACTCCAATGAATGAATTGCTGATAGTGCAGCTAATTAATGCTTTATTAGTTCTCTGTGGTCAATTATAACAAGTTATAAAAAAGTAAAATGCAGTTTAATAATAAAGAACTATGTGATTCTTGTTTCTTTCTCAGAACTGCTTTGTTTTGTGCATGTGGAAGAAACAATTTCTACATAGCTCAGTTTTATAAGACATTTCCCCTGCTAACTGAGAGCAACTCCTATGATTAAAAAGTAGACTAGAGTCTTTAAATGTCTTTCTGATTGCTGGCCTCTATTAAAAACTTCTTAAAATAATAGATAGGTTTAATTCCTCAAGCCAAAGAAAAATTATATCATCTTAAGTATTTTCCATATTTATTATATTGATGAGACTTGGCTGCAGAGGAAAAAAAAGGAAGCAAAATCTCTTGTATTGCAAGTTTTAAATGTACCAGGCTAAGGTTTACTTAATTAGAACCTCCAGGCAATAAAGGAGCCCTTTTTTAAATTCTGTGAATCTTAATATGCTAAATAATGCAAAGCTTCAACTCTTCAAGCATGAGACACACATCTGGCAGCTTAACATTTAAATTACAGAAAAAAAAAACCACTTCAGTAGTAATTTTCATGAAGAAAAGAATGGGAAATGTATTACAACTAAATTTAATTTCTTTTTAGATTTTTCATCCTGTCTAATTGCGAGCATTTGCCATCTTCTCCTTTATTTATTTATTTTCATACAGATTTTTTCTGTACTTTTTATTGATCTTTAATTTGAGCAGCTTCTTTCTGTTACAGCCATTGAAGAATTACATTGTGTTTTTACTTAGCAAAAATTGTTCAGAGAACTCTATAAGGAATTAAAGTAATGAGCTCACTGGTATAGAAATAAAAGAGCATTCAGAGCTTTACAAATAAAATATAAAAAGAGCACGTCATGATTAAATAACAAACTTGAGTTCCTTCTCCCTCTCATTTCTTCAATGTAGAATATTATTGTTTTCTTTATTTTTTTTATTGTGCTATTTTTTGGCCAAGGTAATTACTGCTTTATTCATTTCCCAAAACATTGTCAAAGTCTTCATTATTTCAGCAAAGCTATTTGGAAACCTATTTTAGTGAGCCAAAATAAAAAGAAAATTGAACAACAAAGAAAACCACAGTAACCATCTTTACAAAGGTATGTTTATGTTTTAATATGTTTATGGGTTCATACATGTGTCACGTGTATGGAATATGCAGGGACAATTTGAACTGTTTATGCTGCATGTGTGCACACATGTGACATACCCAGCAGCTCTATTTTAAGAAGTTTCATTAATTTCAGTAGATCTCTTCTTTCATCCCAGAAGATGTAAATACCCTTAAATACCTCATCCACTATGAATGCTCAGCATGTAAACACCTATATGTGTGTGTGTGTATATAGTTAAAGTAAGAAATAGAAAGATATACATAGATACATACACAAACACACAGGCTCAAAGCTGTGACATAGTACATGTGTATGTTGTATATCTACAACTATAACACCTAAGAACAGATCCTGCCTGTACTGTGATTTTAAGTACACTTGACTGTCTTTTACTGAGTGGAAGTGGAAGTCACTGGAAAAAAAAAAGTGAAATAATCATTACGTATATTTTTGGTTTATCCTTCATTTACCGTACCTTAAGAAGTGCAATACAGACCTTTATTTCCATTGTACCACTGCTTCCTATGATGTGGGAGTAAGTTTTTGTTCACTCTACAGGTCACTGCTTTTCAGGAGTTTGAGGGACACGCTACTTGAGTAAACGTTGTTTAGAAAACACAAATACCTGTGCCTTGTTCTTGATCCGCAGCCATGCCCATACAGGAAAATGAACCTCCTCTTTTCTGAAGAACACATCCTGGAGTATTTAAAATGCCCTTCACTGTCATTCTTCTTGTTTCTGTTATTTCTATATTTCCATTTTTCCCCCCGCTGCTCAGCTATACCGTTGTTAATTACAGCACCACAGCATCTGAAGTCTTCTCCGCATTTGTCATCCTAACGCTTCTGGAAGGTAGAAGGTAGGAGAGAACTAACCACCTATTTATAACTAGGATGGAGAGGAAAAAAATGACCTGCCTGGAGTCATGCTGGATCTTGCTGGCAGAGGGAAAAAAACCCAAGTCCTTCCTTTCCAGAGCTTTATCTTATGCACTGATATAAAAATACTTTTTTTTTTTTCCCTTACAGAAGAAGATTTTCACCAAGATTGCCATGGCAGCACAGGCGAGCACTATGGCTTCTGTCAGCCAAAGGAAGATCAAGGAGGACATCACAAGGTACTGGCTTTGATCTGAATGTCACCATCTCCCTTAAAGCTCATGGTGAAGCCATTAGAGCTTCTGCTTGTGCTATTTAGGAATTATTTGTGGGCTTGCTTCTTCTTGTTGTGGTGGTTTTTTTATCTATCACTGTGAATTTTGCTATAGCTAACATAAAGCTTCATGTGGCCAGGAGTATTACTGTCTCTTGCATAGATCTGTAGGGAGCTAATCTCTCTGGTAAAGGAATTTCAAAGGAGTAGTAGGAAAGACCATCCAGTGATCAGACAACAGCAGCTTGATCAAGACTGCAATGCAGGATGACATTTTTTTAGTAGCACTTAAACACAAGATAGATTTCCTATGTATCTATAACCTTCAAGCTCTCATATCCGTGTGCAAAAGACGCCTGCCATTACTTTTAGTATCCTTATTTGTAGCGTCTTGGTCAAAGACGTAATTAATTTGTGAACAAACACTGTGGCATCAGTACAAGTGACCATGAAATTACATCTGCATCATGACAATAGTCTCTGGGTGAGATACTACTGGAACTTTCCAATTTAATGTAAGTCCTGAGAACTAAGACACAAATAAGACTCTGTATTCCCGAGAATTGCCTCTACATGCATATTATCTGTTCTAAATTAGATATCTTCCAATGAAGGATGCAATTTTTCTCTGTAAGTGTTGCTCCACTTTCCTCCTTAGATCAGCACAGCTGCAGTGAACTATAACTGCGAACATGAATATTCAAATTAATCATTCTGGCAATTTGTCTCACCCTGTTCTAGATGTACTCTGAAACATTTTTAATGCTTTTAATTGTCCATGGAAAGAAGTCATCACAGTACTTGGAGTACTCACAAACGTGTGCGCTATGTGTTTATACCTGTACATGTACTCTGGCACAAATACTCAATAGCTGGGAATTATTATCGCAGCTTTGACTTTAGTAGTGCAATGGATCTACATATAAATAACTATGAGGAAAAGTGGATTGGCCAACTGGAAATTCCCTCCATTTTAAATTACTAAGTTTTCAAGTGATCTGTTTCTTTAAGGAGGTAAGGATAACTTGGAGAAACCAGAGTGACATTTGACCGAGACGCTACAAATAAAAGCTGCAGACTGATGTGTACATGCATGTGTGTAGCCTTATATCTATAGGAAGACCAATTTAAGGACTGATGCAGTGGGTGTAATGGGCAAAGCAACCCAACCCATGGGAGTGGCAGAGTGAAAGTCATTTCCTACAATCCCATAATAGCACATTGCCTTTGAACAAAGTGCCACGCTCTTATAGGAACCTCAGTTGTGGGTGGCTGTCAAAGCCACATTAAAGTGACCTGGTTTCAGTGAGGTGCGTAAGCCCATGGGTAATTCCGTGCTGTCTAGTCCCTTTGGACTCAGTGAAATGACTCACAAGCTTACAGTTATTGACATGTTTAAATAGATTTCTGAACTGAGCCTCTTCTGAGAATACTTCTGACAAAAGAAATGTGAGCATGTGAAATCTCCTTTCAAAGGTTGTAAGAGACCCTCTTTTTTAATGGGATGAGTGAGCCCTAATGTTCAGAGGGATCCTTGTTTTAGCATGTTCAGGATTTAGACACTGGGTCTGAATTACGTCCTTTGGGCCTACTTGTATCTCTGGAACTGAAACCGCCTTCCAAAATAATTTTACCCAGCAATCATATCTTGGAAACAATTGCAAGCTAATGTAAAGAACAGAAGAACAGACTTAAGGCAGAAGACACAAGTTCATGTAGTGGATTATTCTCCTCGTTTGTCCCTTTTCTTTTTGTAAATAATTTTTTTCTTTTCCTTTTTTTTTTTTTTTGTAACAAAAGCAAACAGAAAGATCTTTGGGTCTTAGCACACCTTTTTGGGGAATATAGGATATTTCAACAAAACCAAAGGTGTTATTGCTTTGGCCCCCCTGCCGCTAAATTCATCTATGCTAAGGAGTTGCAAATAGTCCTCCACTGAGGATCTTCTGAGTGATGGGCATTAGTGACAACTTAGTTTTTGTTGCAGTGAGTGTGCGCACCGTTGCACATATTCAGGATACTGAATGGTGGCTATGAAGGACACAATGCTACCCGTCAGCAACCTCTGAGAGAAATAGAATGTATGCTGTGGCCGTAATCCCGTCCTTGTGCAGATGACTGAGCTTCTGCTATTGTACTTTCAGACAAGATCACACACAGTCTCAGAGAAATTAACTCGTAATACTCTTTAACACTTTTGAGAATTATGTCTAAATAGCGTTTTTATATCTGCTTTCACAAGGGTAGTTTCATGCAGCCAGTGTCAGTGCAAGCAAGGTACTTTGCACATGCTACCTACTCTGAAACCCTGACTTTTCTTAGGGAATGAAGTTGGGCAGTCATGTGGCTAGGTGGAATGCAATGCTATCTGTAGCTGCCTGGTCTTAGTATTTGAAAACAGCTTTGAGCACGCTACCCACTTCTACTCTGCCTTAACTATTCATATAGAATTGCTTTTTGACAATATATTCCATTGCTTGTGGCAGCTTTTCCAATGACTGCTGAAAATATGATGATTGTATCATGTTTACTGATAACCATATTTAGCATTATGTAGGGATGGATATGAACCTGTCTGTTATGTCCATGGGCCTTAAATTAAAATTCAAAATGTGGATGAGGTCTATGTAATGCAAGCTTCAGAATACAAATTTGCCTTTTAGAGCAAAATGGTTTACCGAGTTAAAAAAAAAAAATCTTTGTAGTTTTCTTAACTAGCAAAGTATACAGTGATGTGACTACATCTAATGTCAACGCTGTGTTCCCTGGAAACTCTGAAATATTTTGAGATCTACAGAGTAAACTTGGATGTTTTTTTCATTATGGATTTCATAAATGTGAAAGTCAAAAAGGATCTTAAATCATTTAGGTTAGCTTCTAGTATAGGCTAGTAAATTTCAACCAGTTGCTCCGTAAAATCAGCATCAAGGGACAGAGAACCAAAATTTCCTGTTGTGGTTACCTCTAAATAGGATACTTTCCATCTCCATGTCTAAAAGAAAGAACATAAAGGGAGTCCTCTTTCTAATTTGAACATAACTGGTTTTAGCTTCCATGCCTTTGCTCTCTCTGGGCTTGTTCACTAAACGTTAACAAACCCTTTACAGAGTTTGGTATTGTGCCCAGGAAGGTATTAATAGATAGTTTCATGAAGTGACCTGCAGATGTCTGTCTCCTAAGTTAAGACCTCATTGTGTCTCTTGGTGGTAGTGATGTTTGACTGTCTGTCCAGTGGTGCTAACGTTGAGCATGCAAGGAACCTGCCGGTCACTCCAGAGAGAGGCAATGCTAGTGCCGAATCGGGCCCCACGCATGCGAAAATGTTATTCTAGAGATGAGCACAGATTAAGATGCTGTACTTTGTAGCTCAAGGAGTAGTTTAAATCAGCTTAAACTGGCATCAGTGCTGGAAGATGTTGTACTGTCCTTCTCCTCCCTTGTGTTGGCACCAGTGCAGGATGGCCTGGATGAGAATGGGTCCAACTGAGAGCTAACCCAGTTATATAAAAGGAAAAGAAAAGAAAGAGGCCAAACAACATTAATTCCCTTCCCAGATCAGTTCCCTCCATATGTTCTACTCTGTGGATGTCCAAATTATTGTGCTGATGGAGTGCACTGTACAACACAGGAAAAAACAAGCAGGTAGAGGAAGGGTGGATGACTTCTTCTGGTGTCAGTATGAGTTTATGCCTCCATGAGAGGATTTGTTAAACCACAGCCTTACAGGAACATAAATCAATTCACTGAACTGCTCTGTGTGTAGTTCTGGGCCCCACAATTTAAGAAGGATGTGAAGGTCTTTGAAGGACCAGAGGAGGGCAACAAAGCTGGTGAAAGGGCTGGAATGCATGTCCTCTGAGAAGAGGCTAAGGACTTCGAGCTTGTCTAGTTTGGGGAAAAAGGAGGCTGAGGGGCAACCTCATTGCTCTTTACAGCTTTCTGAGGAGGCAAAGTGACAAGGGAAGTGCTGATCTCTTCTCCCTGGGATCCAATGCTGGGACACGTGGGAATGGTTCAAAGCTGCACCAGGGGAGGTTTAGACTGAACATCAGGAAGTATTTCTTTACCAAGAAGGGCGGTCAAACACTGGAACATGCTTCCTAGAGAGGCGGTCAATGCCCCAAGCCTGTCAGAGGCATTTGGACACTGGCCTTAATAACATGATTTAAGTTGGTCAGCTCTGAATTGGTCAGGCTGTTGGACTAGGTGATTGTTGTAGGTACCTTACAACTGGAACACTCTATTCTATTCTGTTCTATTCTTAAGTGTTTTGAGCCAGTTTTGCCACTGCTGTTTTCCAGGTTTGTTATAGAGTGAGGAGTAAAACAGAGCTAGAATTTCAGAACGGGATGAAACTGGCAACTTATACTTTGCTAGCTGTGCCCAGTTAATTACCTTACTATTCTAACTTCGGTTTTATTTTCATATAAAGATCAACGGGAATAACCCACCTGACCAATGTTATCAAGAAAAATCCAGTCCTTGGAACAATGCAAGCCCAGAAGAAGAGAAAGCATCTGCAGCGAGAGATTTTTACTTGGAGGACTTAGAGAAATACACTTTTTCTGTGTGGTAAGCAATCTCAGCATCAAACAGTTTCACAACCCAAAAGTATGCCTTGTTATTTTTGTATTATAGAGGTATCTACATTCAAATTAATATTATTAGGCTACAAAATCCAACACACAGGTTGACAATTACCTAAGCAACCTCAGTTTGTCCCCTTTGTGCATGCATGTTATGATTATGACATCCTATGCTATTTTTCCACAGAGCTTATTTTTCTGTGTGTGTGCTATTTATTTGTGTAAATATGAGGTATTTTATTTTCTGCTTTTTGGTCACTGTGCCCCTGGCCTTATTTACAGCATGCAGACCCTGCCTGGAATTCAGAATTACTGATTTCCTTCCCAATAGGACTTTACAAATAAGAGTGAGTTTTTCTTCACAAAATCATTGTGAAGT